GGTCAAAGAAAACAAAGGTCAAGAGAGATTTTATCAGAGAAAAGAATTTTGAGAAACCCAACTAAATGGTTGAGCAACTTAGTCATTCTGAAGGCGGAGAATCAGGGCTCTTTTCATTCCTAGGATAAAGCCTATGCTTGGATTTGAATTACGATTTTCCTGAGTCCCCTTTTCAGACATTATCAAAGATAATCCTGGTTACCCTCCACCATGGTATACTGATGATGCTCAGGGTAGCTAAATTAATCAAGTTTCATGGTGTGTTTATTGGATATCGAGAGGTAGTAATTGGGCAGTTTTGAGTTGTCTCTTGGTGGGATGCTGAGACCTTTTTTGGTTGTGTATGGGATAGTGGTCTCATATAAAGTCAGGTAGTTTTGAACGTTTGTTTTGGAAGAGTAGCATGCAAAGATGCTGACAATCAAGGAACAGAACATCAAAGCGTATTTCAATTTTGGTCTGCCTTTCACAATCTCTGTAGGAAAAACCCCTTTAATCTTAGTCCGTGTGGTTTAGCCTGATAATTGCCACCCGTACCCTCCAGCCTAAGCATAAGCAAAAGACTTAGGGTTGTCTGACAGAGGAATTGGTTCAAGGAAGGATATTAATACCCAAACAAAGTGATTAGAGTCAACTCTGGAAAATCAGAGGGAACTCTTGCTAAATAAAACATGTTCACTTCTATGAAATTGCCAGCAGTAAGGATAGTATGAAGCTAAAACTTTGAGTGTCTTTTTAAAATTATAAATATTAACTTCCTGAAAGAAAAAAAGGTTATGGATCCTACCCTATGAGAGTGTTACGAAGATTGTGTGATGTTTATGCAAACATCAGTTCATGGCTTTGTCTGTTTCATGGTAGACATACCTTAAATGTTAGTAAAGTATAAAGATGGGGGTAATGGAGGGATTTCAGAGTTCCGAAGAATTATATCTCTACCAAAACATTGCCTATATTATAGTATTTGACTCATCCATTATTTCCGATTATAAATATGTTTGGATCACTCAGTATTGAACTAATCAAAGAATCACTACAAAAATATTCTCTGCAACAGATAAAGGGTATGACAAATGGAGTAGACTTTATATATCAGTAGACTGGTATTATATACTCTGATGTT